CAGTGACCATCACAAGCCCCAGGGAAATTAGGATTGTTACCTAAGACAGTACATCCTTGGAAACCTATACCACTGTAAAGGCATTCAACTACCTTCATGAATTACTATAGTCTAGACTATGAAGGAAATACTAACACTTCTGGCATCAATAAAAATGACTAAATCACAGAGACTTTGCTATTGAACAACTTTATAACCAAACCCAAAACACTTATCCAAATGACAGCTCACACTTGATCTAAACAAAAACCTTTTCCTACAAAAGCCATTTCATAAAATTGTTAGAAATGAACATCACACCAGATGTATAGATATCAAACAGAGGACACAAGAAACATAAAAGAAACATGGCACCTTCAAAGAACAGTAATTCTCCAGAGATAAACCTCAATCTGAAGGAAATGTCTGAAATGACTGAAAAAGAATTTAAAATAATGTTCCTAAGAAAACTCAGCGAAACGTAGGTGGATAATCAGTATAAGGAAATGAGAAAAGCAATGCAGCACCTGAATGAGAAAAGCACCAAAGAAATAGAAACCATAAGAAAGAATTAATCAGAAATCTTATGTTGTAGTTTAGATTTGAAATGTCTCCAAAATCTCCTGTGTTTAAAGGTGGGGCTTTCAGGGGGTTATTGGGTCATAGGGTTGCTGTATTCATCCATGAATTAATTCACTAATGAGTTTATTATTAAATGTGCTCTCAGGAGGAGGGTCTGGTTAGAGAAAGTGGGGTACTCATGGCATGGATTTGGAGGATATATGCTTGTTAAATTTTTTTCCTACTCTGCTTCTATGCTCCCAGTGAGTTATGCTCCCAGGGCCTTCTATTATGCCATTTCTTCCTTGGAAGTACTCAACCATGGACTGAACACTCTGAAATGGCTAGTAAAAATAAACTTCTATTCCTTAAGCTGTGTCACATATTTTGTCCCAGTGATGGGAAGGGTGACTGATACAGAAAATGGGGTATGGAGAAAGTGGGTGTTAGCTGTAACTGTACATAACTAACCATGTGGTTCAGAAACCATTGGAACAGGTTTTCAGGAGGAGTCTTGAAAAGTAGAGAATTTGGCTGCAGAAATCCTAGAGCACTATAAGCAAAGCTTAATGGACAGTTCTGGGAGCTTGGATGACCACAATGCTGATAGGCATACAAAGAGTAAAGGTCAGACTTACAAGATTTCAGATGAGAATAAAGACTCTACTAGGAATTGGACTAGAGATCAGTTGTGTTGCATTCTCGTAAAGACCTTATGTACATTTGGTCATGGCCTCAGACATTGCAGGAGGCTGAATTTAAAGATGATAGACTAATTAATCTGATGAAGGAAATTTTAAGGAGCTCATTGTTCAAGTTGTGGTGTGGGTACTTCTGAATATTTTTTGCTAGAACTACAGTGAGACTCAAGGACAAAAAGTAGAGTCAAAATACGTGGAAAACTTGAAATTTGGCTAGAAAGGAAGCCTGTGTAAACTTGGGGCCAATGAGAGTATAGTTGCTGAAAAGATTAGCAACATTAAAAAGGAGCCCAGTACTTTCCACCAAGCCAATAGGAAAGAAGGCTTGAGGATATCTCAGAAAGTGATCAGGCTCAACCTGTCATAAGCTCAAAGGTGTAAAAGGGTAAACTCCTCTGAAAGATTTTTGAGAAGAGTACCTCAGGGTGCTGTACTCTCTCAAGGGCATCTAGGAAGATGTATTGTAAGTACAGCCATCCAAACACAAGCATAGTTATAAGGAATCCAGCTACTGTTCAAGCTGGCAGCAAGTCTTAGCATTATCCACATAGTGCTGATTTCATAGGCAGGCAGAATACAAGAGTTATGGGGTCATAGAGACTTCCACACAGATTTTAGAAGAAGGCTTGTAAGTCAGGAAATGTGGCATAACAGGATTATAGTCCCTGGTAGGAGCCCCTGTGAAGGTAATGCTTGAAGGTGTGAGCTCATGCTGACATGGAGACTGCAAGCAGTTGCAGATGCCAAGAAAATGAAATGCATGCTAAGAAAAGCACATAGGCGGTGAACAGAAACAGCCCAAAAGAGAGGCCATGTGGGTGAAAACTGGCAATCCCATAGGGGCAGAGCTGCCCAAGCTCTTTGGAGTTCACATTTTACTCCCACATGCCCTGTGTGCTAGACAAGGTACTAGCTACCATACTTAATGTTTTCCTTAGCTATGGGTGAGAGTTGAGGAGAGAGAAAAGTGGGAAGCTGTTGGTCAAAGGGTATAAGGTTTCTGATGGGAGAAAAAAATATTTTGAGATCTGTGGCACAGCAGGATGACTAAACAACAATAATGTATGTTTTCAAAATAACCAAGGATATACTTCAAATGATCTCACCATAAAAAATGACAGGTAATCAAGATGGACACATTGATTTGTTATAGTAATTCTACACTGCATACATATATCAAACTAGTTCATTGTACCTCATAACTATTGTCAATTAAAATAGTATTAATAAAAGAGCAAAAAAAATCATAATAAGATACCACTTGACATCTGTTAGGATGACTAATATCTTAAAATAAAAATAACAAATATTGTCAAGATATGAAAAAAATCACAACCATTTTTCATTTTGGTGAGAATGTAAAATGGTGGAGCCTTTGTGGAAGACATTGTGATGATTTCTTAAAATATTTAAAAATACAATGTCCATGTGGTACAACAATTCTGCTTCTAATATTTATCTGAATGAATTGAAAGCAGGAAGTAAAAAATTCATAGAATGTACATCACAAACAGTGAGCCTAAAGTGAGCATAAACTATAGGTTTAAGTTCATAATAATTCATAAGTTAATGCAAATGTACCACAATAATGCAAGATGCAAAAAGTAGAAAAAGCAGTTTCTGTAGTGAAGTGAGGGTATATAAGGAAATTTTCTGTACTTCCCACTATATTTTTCTATGAACCCAAAACTACATTTTGATTAAAAATTATTAAACATAAACAATTTCCATCCAAACAGGAGAAGCAAAGTTACATTTTTAGAGCAAAAATAGATTTGTTTCTGCATACGGCTAGTAAGTCCTGGGACTGTTCCTACTGTGTCTACTGGATTTTAGAGTTCTTTTATTTCCCCACAGTATCCCTTGGATTCAGTACCACTGGCAGTTAATCTGATGATGAAGAATATTACATAAACATTAATGTCTTTCAAAGTGTCATTATAGATACAAGAAAGAATATGAGTGTATCTATAGGTTAACTCCTAACCTCCTTCTCCCTTGATTACCTCAACCCTGGAGGGTACAAGTCACAAATCTTGGAGGGAACAGTGCCCGTGTGACACAGTTCTGGCTAATATAACATAAGCAGAAATGTAGAGGTTTCTGACAAATCTTTGTTTTCTAATCCAACTGCTAAGCCTTATTGTTCCTTTCCTCCCTGAAACAGGTACTGAGAAAGGGAGGTGAAGCAGTTATCTTGAGGCCATGAGCTGAGGAACTTCAGCAAAGAGGCCTCTGAGCTGTTCACAGCTGACTGGGAAGGTGGCAGGAGCCTTTTGGCATCATTCAGAGGCTAACCATTGTTAAATGTTTATTCCATATGTGTGTTCAAGCCCCCTTTAGGATTTTCTGTTTGCTAAAGAAAACACAATTCTGACTGATACATATGTATAAATAGTAGTTTTTTAAAAAAATATGAGACGTGCACTAAACTATAATGACCAGTTTCTCATGGCATTTAGATAGATTTTGGTAGCACAGTATTAGGTATATAAAGATGCTGATTCTTTGAGTGATTTAGTAGATGATTAACCACATTATTTTTTACCACTTTAAAAGTGGTCCTATCATCAGAAGCAATGAATATAGACTCTGGTTCCAGGAGCCTGCCTCCATGGATCTTTTAGGGTAGGGTGATGGTGGTGGTGGTGGTGATGGCACATCGGCCAGGATAGGGCCTGAAGATTAGCTTTGTGGCTCTAGTGGTGCCCCTTCTGGTCTCTGAGCTTTAAGTTTCTTGTGCATTGTCCTCATTTTTGTGGGCTGAATGCTTCATTATTAGATAGCATCATTCCTGGCATTGTACAAGGTGACTTACGGTATCTTAGTCTTATAGCCTTTATGAAGCTGTGCAAAGTGGCCTTGGTGAAAGTTTAATGAATCTTAGAGGTGTCCTTATGATTAGTTATGTGAGGAATTTGAAATATGGGAATTACTGTCTTAATTCCTTTAAATTCTGATTATAACTGACTTGCCAACATGTATGTGTAGGTAATTTGAAGGAACTGGCTAGCTGCTGAAATAACTATATTAATTACTTTTCTTATAAGTTTTAATACCATTTCCCAATTATCTTGATTTTTTAAAATGGGTTATAAATTCTAAAATATTAAAGTCTTTTTCCTTACTAATGTAATTTTTCTATACTCTATAACACTGAATTGCTTTTTCTCTTCTAATATGTCTATTCACCTTTTCTTTAAAAATCATTTATTGTATTTGTCTGTTAGAATCTAGACCTGAAAGTAGAGCCCCTTTCTGAAAACACTCAAGCTGGTATGTTCTCAACTAAATTAAATTGACTTATGTCCATTCTGATTGTTTGCAATGAATAGTTCAATTAAGACACAAAATTTCTAAAAATCTAGCAGGAAAGATCAAGGTTTGTGGCTTTATATCTATAGGGTCTAGTTGTTAAGACCTATGGAAGTCTTTTGGCCCATTTTATGTAACTAATGTTAGGCATTGTATTAAATTGTCTTATTTTGTGTAGTTAAAAAAATATTTTATGGTAATTTTAAATTAACAGCACTAAAAAGCAACAATGCAATAAGACTAATAGAAATGACAAAAGACTTTTGCATAAAAGTATTAAACAAAAACTACAATAATGCAAGGAGATTTTTATATGAAATGAAAAATCCAAGTATTAATATTGGTTTCCCATATTCTAATCAAGAGAGGCAGAAGGAAGCATCAGAGAAATATCATCATGGATATATGTGAATATTTTATGAGATATACACTGTTAACTTCATCTCAGCATGATTTAGCAATAGATCTTCTGGTACAACCAACTCGGCAACATTTCTTACTGGTTTCTCTTTTCTTTAGTGAACGAATATTCGACTCTAAGTACTTTAGTACTGAATGACCATTGTCCTCTGCTTCATCTTGTGTCTCATTAATAATTTTTTTAAGGTCTTGAGCTCCAACACTTGAATTCTTTAATGCAGGTACATATTGTTGTAGCTGTGGTAATGATGTTGCTTTCAGCTCTTGTAGCAAATTAGGAGTGAATTCCGACGTAGTTAGGGAGCCTCCATCTTTGTTGATAGAGGATGGCGTGATTTCTGTTAAGTTAAAAATGGAGACGGGGAGAAAAATATTTATGTCAAGGAGCATCAGGTAAACTGCAAATGTTTGCATAGTCAAAAAGGAAAGCATTAGCTCAATAAAATTAAACATGGAAACAATCAGCAAGTGTCCTAATATCTAAATCACTTAGCTTGCTTATAATGGGTCACCATTAAGTATTATAATCTTTTCAAAGTTCTGTTGTACTCTGTTTAGTCACATGTTATGTCTCTTTCTCATCCCCTCACTGCTTATTATCATAATACTTTTTATTCATTGACATTGATCTCTTATTTTTCTGACATCATTTTCATCATTGAAACTCTTTGACTACAGATGGATTTCTTTTCATCTGAGTAATTTTATTCAACAGTGAGAAATTTCTGTGTTATAATAGTAACCACTTCAAAAGATTTTAGGATCCAGGGATGTAGCTCAGTGGCACAAGCACCCACCTGGCAAATGCAAGGTCCTGAGTTTGATTCCTAGGACAAAAAAAAAATTTTTTTTAATTAGTTTAAGCTATCAAAAGTGCCATGTTGGCAAGTTAACTAGCTTCAGAATAAAATTGAAAAGGCCAAATTCCCAATAGCTCTGATTAATCAGCAGGAGCTACAAGTCTCTGACATCCCTCAAACATCTAGAAATCTCTTTTCCCCACAATATTTATTCTAAGACAGTAGTATTTTATATTAAAGAGAGAAATGGACTAAAAGAACACTAACAAAAACTCATGGGCTTCTAGAAGAAATTAGAATCTTCTGTGGTATGTGTATACTAACTAGTGTATTGTGTATGGTATGCGTTCCAGGGCTATGCTGGTAAATATCAAGGCTGGAAACTAGGTTTGGAATCTGCTGGAGTCAGCTGACATCTCTGGTCTTCTTTATACTCATTCCGTTTAGTTGAGCATTCACTGTCTGTTTCCAAGGTTCTGACACTGCCAACTAGGAGACTGAACGAAGAGAAAAGGTTTCCTGTCTTTCAAAAATTTGTCAGTTACGTAAACTGTCTCCTAGCCTTACTTATCCCAATTAACACAATTTGCGTTAACACACAAAGAAATTAGAAACACAGATGAAATTTAAATTATAGGTAAACCTGGATCATTTTTTGCTGCTCTTCTTAATGGACAGCAAAACTGTCCTTATTAATGAGGCATCGTTACTCTTAAAATAATGCAAACATGCTGAAAGATATAGAAGTAAGTCTAAGTGCTTGGTTAACCACAAGTGAGATAAAACTGTCCCTTCACCTAGGCAGGGGTGGTCCTGGGGCTGATCTATTTCCTAAAGAGTCCTGCAGCAAGAATTTTAGCCAACTACAAACTTCAATTGTTGGAATTTGGCAGAGTAATACTAATAGTAATAATATGGTATCACTTGTCTTTTCTCCTAATGCTTCCTGTCACTCAGCTTCTAAACTGGCAATGACAGATGAGATGTTATGCCATTTTTAGTTATGTCAGAAGTTTTGGCGTTTTCCTTCAGTAAGACTGAGTTTAACTTACCCTAGCTATTATAATCCTCTCTTTGCCCTTAATCTTTCTCTATTTGGGAATTTATTGAATGCTAAGAAAACAAAACAGGTGTAGTTTGTATTAAGTTTATTCGTGGGCTATGTGTTTTGAATACTTCTGATTTATGGATTCTAGACTCAAACAATATTCTAATCTCTCTGAATTCATACAGACACACAGTCACTGTACTCTTAGTCGCTGTGCTTTGGACTCATATTCCCGCATATAGGTCTCTTCTAGTTAAAAGTATCCTTGCTTTTAAAAGAGATAGAGTGAGTGCTACTTTGGGATACTTGACGGGATAAAATGGTTAGCTAATAGTTTAATAATGTAAAAGCAAATTTAATACTACATAACAATAAAAGTATGAAACCTTATTTGAATCACAAATTACTGACATGTACTTGCAGTAAATCCATTCATGCAGGCAGTATTTTGTTAGGCTATTTCCAATTAATTTATGTATTAGGTAGCAATATGGAAAATTATTTTCAAATATTTAAAAAATCATAGGTCTCCTCTAAGGAAATAGAAATTCAGCCAAATACCTGTATTTGGATGTGTTCAGCACAACATTTTCAAGAATTTGGAAATAATCTAAATGTCTATCAGTGTTTCAACATGCAGTCAGTCATGTGTCACTTAAAGGGCAAATGTTCTGAGAAATGTGCTGTTACTTTATTTTTGTCACTCTGCAAACATCATCAAGTATATTTACATAGTTCTAGACAGTAGAGTTCGGCTATTTGACAGGGTCTCTTGAAGCAATCAAGAGGTGTGGTAAACAAGAGATGCATGAGGCTTCTGCCAGCATAACACAACATCCTGCTTCATAATATACTTTTGTAAAAAGAGTACATCCTAAAATAAAAGTATAGTGAACATATAAACTAGTAATTGTCATTTATCATCGCTATCAAGGATTATGTGCTGCACACAATTATATTGCCATTCTTTTATACAGCTGACAGTGAGGTAGGCTTGTATACATCAGCATTACCACAAACAGAATATGGTATTTTACTTTGACTTTACTATACCTGTATCAGTAGGTGATAGGAAATTTCAGCTCAGTATAGTCTTATGAGACCACCATTACAGACACAGTCTTTCACTGACCTAAATGTTGTTATGTGGTGCATGAGGGTATGTGGTAGTTATATTTTTGGAGAATAAAATGATGAAAAATTGCTCATAGCATAATTCAAAGTGAAAATACCAAAGATATACATATGTATATTCAAATGTTAACATTTATCTTGTTATTTAATGTATTTTCATTTTCTTATTATAGTCACATATATTTTTCAAAGTGTATAATATATATTGGTGCTTTCCTTTTTTCTTATTGTCTTTGTGTATAATATTTTCCTTTCATATGAGATGCAAATGCAGTATAATCTAGTCTTATCTAGTTTGTTAGTAAATTCCTAGACTGGTGTTCTATTAAATTTATGCAAGAATTATGTAAAGACTGGCATGAAATAAATCAATATCTGACAATAAAGAAAAATAAATAAGTTTAAAATCATATTTTAAATCCTATGAAAGAGAAGTAAGTGTATCTGTTAAGCACAATAATTTTGCATGATGTCACTTATGTACAGTATATAACCTATAAAATTTAGTTGTGGTTTATCAAATCATATATATATATATATATATATATATATATATATATGACTTAATTAACTTAGTCAGTGATTGACCTTGTTCTTGTGAATTTAACACAACCATAAACCGATTATACTAGCCTATACCTCTATGGATTTCCACTGCTACTTTAACTTAGCTTCCAAATTATCTTTATAAGTGCTTTGTAACTAAAAAAAGCATTTTTAAAAGCATTCCAGATTTGAGTTGTCTCAACTCTGACATCTTCCTTTAAAAACATACTTATTACAGTTCCCAAAACTTGAAAGCATCAATGAAGTTTCCAAAACTTAAAAGATCTTCAGCTGGTCTGAAGGGCAAGCTCCGCTTCTCTCTGATCCCCTTCAGTTTTTAGATCTCCTGTCACTTTTGCTTCTCTTCTGTGTGCCCACCTGACCCCACCCCACTCCCACCCTGACCCTTCAGGTGAACCGAAAGACCCAATTCACCCAAGAAGTGGGAAGTGCATTAAAAAAGGACATGTATAGGGGCGAGAAAGGCTTCTTCATGGAATGGAGTAGAAGAGTCACTGAATCTAAGATCTTCCTGTCTCCCATTTCAGGACCGCATAAAGGTCTCAGTGCTGAAGCATGCCCTTGAGCACACAAACAGGCGTGGTAACCAGCTCACAACCTCGTATTCTGCCCCCTTTCCTCTCAGCTAGAGATACTCCATCCAGGTGCCCGGTCGCTGCCACACTAGCTATGTGGCCTGCTCAGCTTTTCCTCACCAACCCAGGAGTGCCCCTGGCAGCATCACCTCTTCTGTGGCTTCTACCTTGTTCAGACATCGCTGACCTGGTGGGAAGAACACCACATGCTTCTAGGGTGAGGCACTTTGCTACACCTGTTGCCCAAGTCCCTGTTTTGATTGGTTGGCAGCCTGGGGCAACCTACCTACGAGAAGCATGGAATGGTGGGGCTGGTGCATGTGAGCTCTCACCTGTGGATGGTCCAGATCCGAGAATGCGCTCTTGCTTTTGGCCCAAAGCCCTGGGTTCCCACAAGACCTTGCCACAAATTTCTATCCTGGCTCGGACTAGTTCGCGGCCACATAGCTTAGTAACTTCGTCCAGCCATCCAGGAGGTACCACTCCAGAAGTGTGGCTCAGCAGCAGCCAGATTCCTAGGAGGTGGAAAGAGACGAGGTGCAACATCCTAAACCTGGTATCTGCTGCTTTGGAGATTGCCTCTGCTGTCCCCTGCAAAGCTGTACCTGTATGTCCACCCTAGGCTTCAGGGTGCTTTCTCTAGATGGCCCAACCAGGCTTTTATATCCTTTGGGCTATCATTCATCTCTTAAGTCAGTGGTTCTAGCTCCACCCTTTACCTGTATCTCCATGGAATTTTCTTCCTCAGCTCTTGTTCATGACCCTGCCTGTCTTTTTTTACCCCATCTTTCTGTCCTTGGCCTTCTTACTGATGTTTTCTTTGATACTCAAACCACCTTGTACACTGAACTTTTTCTATAGTTGCAGTCTTTCTTTTATCATGGAGTGAATTATGCCATTACACAAAAAATTAACAAAAATAAAGATCACTTACCTTCTTACAGCCCAAAGCTTTCCAGCATGAATATTTGCCACATAAGCTTCAAATCTAAGTAAGATTAGAGTTCAGTAACACAGTGCATGGTATATCCTTAAGAAATAAAATTGGTGAGTGGATAAATTGTTAGCAAGAGGGGCAAAACTGATGACTTTTAATGTGAATCCTAGGAAAAGCATTAAATTTTCCAGCAAAAACACTCTCAGCTTGTACAGTAATTTCTTAAAGGTGCAGCATACTTTCTCTGTTGGATCTTCCTTCTACTCCTCTGTAAGATAGTTTGGTTTTAACCAGTAACTAAATATTTCAATTTGAAATTATATTCTACATGTGCAGATATTGTAAAAGAAAGAAGAAAAAAAAGAAAAAACCAGCAGAACTTCACAATCCCAGAAAGAATATTTTGCTAGCAAAAATTATACAAAAATTATATGCTCATATTTTTTTTCCTGTGGTCTATGTTTGCTGTGTTTAGTAAGAGATGATTTCTAATTTAATTTAGTCACCTTCTAATTTAACATTAAAAATCAACAGTTTGATATACTATACATGGCCATTAAATAAACCTTCTAGCTGTGCAGGAAACTTTTAAGTACAAACAGGTTTATATTTTTCAATAGTTTATTTGCTTGTGTTCATAATCTCAGATTAACTCAGTTGGAAATGGAGCTATTGAGTGAAATAATTCTAATTTCTACATTGGTGATATTTCAGCAGGGCAGAGTGAGCATTAGTCAAATATGAGGTGTTGCATAATTCTAAAAAAAAATAAATAAATAGATAACTTGAACAAAGCTGTGGTTTGGTTAGAGGCATTATTTTAAAAGTGATTTTTATAGGTTTAGACAAAGTTTCTCAACACTGAACTTTAAAGGTATTTTGGGTTAAAAAATCTTATAAAAATACTCCATTTTCAAGGCTGTCTTCCAAATTAATTGCTCACTGCAAACTATAAATTTCTAGGGGTGTTTTTTGTTTTTTTGTTTTTTTTTGTTTTTGTTTTTTTTCCGGTACCGGGAATCGAACTCACGACCTCGTGCTTGCCAGGCAGGCGCTGTGCCGCTGAGCTAAATCCCCAGCCCCTTCTAGGGGTGTTTTAATTTTTTACTTTGCTTGTGTCTCATAGAGTCCTCACAAGAGTCCAGTGAAGTGGCCACTTTGACATTTTACAGAAGGAGGAAACAGAACGATAGCATTTATCTACTTGCCTAAAGCAACTCTAGCCAGCGCATACAAGTGCCAGATGTGGGCTTTCCTCACTGTTAGCACTCACAGGAAAATGTAGCATTCATAGACTTTGTAGGCACAAACCAAAGAGATTTCTTCTTAAAAACAAGACAAGCAAATGAACAAAAAACCTTTCTAAAGAGAAATAATAAATGTATCCATGCACACAGCTGGCAAGTGCTGGAGCTGGGCTCCCAGTCTTCGTTAACCAGATTCCAAAGCTCCAGTTTTTGGCATCACTGCATTCCTTGAGTCCTGTTCCCGTTGGAGTTATTTGGAATAATGAAGATGAACACACACAGATCCATGTCTTTGAAAAAGTCACTGAAGACACAAAAGCTTTGACTCTTGAGGCTTGCAAAGTGCTGCTTGTGATTTCTCAGTGTCTCTTCAAATAGCAGTATTCATATGACACAGTTTTTCTGGCCGATACAACCTAAAAACACCTATGGAATTTCCTGGCAAAGGCTTTGTTTTCCTAATGCAAGAACTAAAATTCTTGTTTCCCCTACCTTTCCTGACCGAAACAGACACTGAAAAGGGGGTGAAGCACCAGTTTTGAGCCATGATGTAGGAAGCCACAGGAGAAAGGCCTATGTGCTAATCCCGGCTGACTGGAAAAATGGGAGGAAAATACTGGGACTGTGTAGAAGCTAATGCTGGGTATGTTGGGTGCTTATTCCATAGGCCCTTATCAGTCACTGTTTTAGGATTTTCAGAGAGAAGGAAAAGAAGAGGGAGAGGGGGAAAAAGGGAGAGAGCAGATTTTAAGTTTTTACATTTTTTATTAACATGTAATAATTGTATATATTAATGTGGTAGTGTGACATGTCCACACATGCATATAGCATACACAGATCAAATCAGGATAATTAGCATTTTCTTTCCATATCATTTATGTGTAGTTTTTTAACTCCTCTTGTCTAGATCCTCATAAAATATATTAGTAGATTATTGTGAACTAGTTATCCCACTGTGTTACAGAACGCCACAACTTATTCCATTTACCCAACTGTGTTTTGGTACCAGTTACCTAACTAACCTCCCTTTACTGACATTCACTATTCTGATCAATCACAAATTCAGATCAACCATTTTTAGCTCCCATATGTAAGAAAAAACATGTAATACTTTTTTCTGTGGGTAGCTAATTTCATTTAACATAATGACCTCCAGTTCCATCCATTATGCTACAAAAGACAGGCTTTCTTTCTTCTTTAAAGCTAAATAATATTCTATGTATATATGCTACATTTTATTAACCCATTCATTCATGGGCATGTAGGTTGATTTCATAACTTGGCTACTATGAATAGTGCTTCAATAAACATAACTGTGTAGGTATTTCCCTTCTTATGCTAATTTTATTGCCTTTGGCTATATTCTCAGTACAGGATAGCTGGATCATGTATGGTACATGTATTTTTTAGTTTTTCTGAGGAACCACCATACTGTCCTACATAATGGGTATACGAATTTACATTCCCATCAGCAATGTATAAATGTCTCTTTTTCTAACATCTTTGCCAGCATTTATCACTATTTTATTTTTTGACAATAGCCATTCTTACTGGCATGAGATGTTATCTTATTGTCTTTTTATATGCATATCCCTGATAGCTAATGATACTGTCCACTTATTGGCCATTTATATTTTTTCCCTTAAGAAATGTCTATGAAGTTCATTTACAGATAACTTTTTATTTTATTAGTACATGTTTGCAATTCATACAGTTTATAATCATGTTGGGGAGTGGTTACATGTATATATTATAACTTATTTTTTTAAATCCCTTTCCATCTCCCTCCCCCTTCTCCCTCCTCCTCCCTTTTTCATACTTGTTGATATTTTGTCTTAGCTCATGTTATGAAATATAGTGTTTACATTAATTGAGGTTATTGAGTTCCTGTACATGGCACATCTTTATTCTCCTTATTTCTCCTTCCCTTCCTCCTCACCTCTCACCCTAATTCCCTTGTTCCCTTGAACCACTTCCCTGTTGCAAGAGACCTGTCCTCTTGTCCCTTTGTATCCCTCCTTTATAATTTGCTTTGTACTTTGCCTCACTCAAGAGAGATACCATATGGTATTTAAACTTGTATGTCTGGCTTATTTCACTCAACATATTTTACAGGTTTGCAGATAATGTTTAATTAGATTTTTTTTGTTCTGGTTGAGTTTTCTTAGTTCCTTATACATTTGGACTATTAATTTCCTGCCAGAAAAATACTTTGCAAATATTTTCTCCTGTCCTGCAGGTTTTTGCTTTACTCTGTGGATTGTTTCTTTTCCTATGTAGAGGATTTGTAGCCTGATATAATTCTACTTGTCAAGTTTTGCTTTTGTTTCCTGCACTTTTGGGAAGATTTCAAAATCATTTTCGACCCTGATGTCTTTAAGTGTTTTCTTATGTTTTATTCTACTAGAGTTCCAGATCTTATTTTAGGTCTTTGATTATTTTGAGTTGATTTTTGCACAGGATGAGATAGAGATGTCAAGTTTCCATCTTCTGCATGTGGATATCCAATTTTTCCAGCATGATTTATTGAAGAAGCGATCCTTTCTCTAATGTTGACAACTTTATTGAGAATCACCTGACTGTAGTTATATGGGTTTATTTCTGGGAGATCGCTTCTGTTCAATTAGTCTATTTGTTTTCATGCTATTTTGATTACCATCATTCTGTAGTGTGCCTTGAAACTAGATATTGTGATGTTTCTAGTTATTTTTATTTGAGATTGCTTTGACTATTTGTGCTTCCATTTGAATTTTAGAGTTGCTTTTTTTAATTCTGTGAAGCATGCTATTGGTATTCTGACAAGTATTGCATTAAATGTGTAAACAACTTTAGAAAACATGGGCATTTTAGATTATTTAAAAGCTTAGAAGTAGTTTATTGTTATAAATTTCCCTCTTAGGATTTCTTTTGCTGTTTTCCATAAATTTTGATATGTTATAGTTCTATTTTCATTTGTTTGGGAAATTTTTTTCTTTTCAGGTTGAAATTTTATTGTTTAACATGATATTGTTTTAAGATATACAGGAAAACACATACAATCAATATTTTGAGGCATCAACAAACTAATAGAATACAGTGTAATTTTTAATTAACTAATAGAAATCAGTGTGTTTTTATCATCATGGTAAATTTCTCTTTTGATCTCTTCAGTGACTCAGTGCTTATTCAACAGCTTGCTCTTCAGTCTCCATGCATTTGATGCCCTTTCTAAGGGTTCTTTTGTTCTTTATTTCTAATTTTACTCCATTATTGTCAGAAAAGAAAAATGATAAGATTTCAGCTTTTAACAATTTGTTGAAACTTGCTTTTTGGGCCCAATATATGTTCTGTCTGCAGCTGCGGGGTGCACTTTTCTGTCGATG